GAAATAGATGGTTTGTAAAATAAAACTCTGCTAATTTGGTTGCAGATCAAAGCTTTTGTTTTAAATTGCTGAATTTTATTGTTAAAATGTTGTTTTTTTAAAGGAGCCTAAAATAAAAAGCAATAAAGTAAAATAAGTTTACCTTTCCGCACACTTCACATGTGAAGTTCTTGTGTTTCCCGTCCCCTCCGGTCCCGGTGCCGCTCACCTTCCCGTGCGTCTTCGCGCAGCTCTTTTCGGCGGACAGAACCTGATTYTCTTTCACGATTTGGTCCAGCTGGCCGGGCAGGTGCTCCTTGTGAGGGTACTGAGGGGTGGGCGGCTTCTCGGAACCGCTCAGCTTGCTGTTGTCCAGCAGCAGCAGTCTGTGGTGGGCCGACAGAGAGGCCTGGGCCTGCGGGCCAGAGAACCACGGTCCCGTCAGCAAGTCGGACTGCTGGTACGCGGACTCCAGGTAGTTCAGGTAGTAGAAGGACCCGCAGCTGGGCACGGCCACGGCCTGGTGCAGCACCTGGGGTTTCACCACTCTGCTCCCGGACGTCGGTACCGGCTGCTTCAGACCCGGAGAGGCCCCCGAGCCGCACAGAGTGCCCCTGAAACTGGACCGCCACAGTTCCGAGTAGTTCATCAGAGCCTTGGCCTGCAGGTCGTAGCTGAGGGGCTGCAGGGGGATCATGCAGGGAATCGGRGAGCAGAACCCGAGCAGCTTCCTGCCCTCGGAGCGCTCCTCCGAACCCCTCTTCGGTTCCGAGCTCTTAGACATGATCCGTTCGATGGAGAAGGCCAGGGCCTTGGGGGCCGCGGCCGGTCCCGTCCTGCCGCAGGACATGACCGGGTCCATTTAGTTCTGGTCCCCGCAGSACGTCTTCACTGATCTCCTGAGGTTCCGATCCTGTTCCAGTGATTTCAGTTCGCGGAGCTCCCAGCAGAACCAGAACACATCAGATTAATCAGAACCGTCCTGTCAGAGGCATCTGGACTGAAATGAACCCAGAACCACAGCATCCGGGTGGGGGTGGGGGGGGGGTACTAATCCTCATTAACTACTGACCCGGAACGGACAGAACATCACAAGGTTCGGCGGCGACAGGAGGCAGAGGAGTGTGTGTTGTTGCGGGCTGAAGTTGAGTGTGTGTCAGAGGTTCTGCTCGGTTTGGAGTGAAGAGAGCACGCGGCCGCTCCGCTGCCCGCCCCCTCTCCATCCTCCTCCTCCTCCTCCTCCTCCTCCTCCTCCTCCTCAGCTGGTAGCTGGAGGAACCGCCCCCCCCCAACAACCTGCAGCCTCTTCACCTGAGAGGGTCAGCATGTTGTGACCGGTACCGGGGAGGAGCGGAGCAGCACACCTGGCTCCTGCACGCTTCGGAGGGTCGCTCCCAGGGTCGCCCCTTTCTCCCKCGTCCTGCGAGCAGCCGTTGAAGAAATGCCCTTTGGATCCGGAACCCCGGGATTCTGGCTCTCCTTTCTGCCGTTTTCAGCACAAAGTTCAGCTCAGAGCACAAAAAGAAAAGGGAAGACAAATGTCGGCGCCAGTAAAGCCCTGCGTGAACCCGCGAATCCGCGCGCGCGCGCGCGTACCTCTTTGAGACACAAAACGGCGAAGGGACGAGGTTCCCTTTCCAAAAAAGTTTGATGGAATTTGTAGTGAACAATCAACAACAATGTTAGCAGGAATTTTTACGTGAGTGCGCGCGCGCGTATGCGCGGTCTTTAGCTTATATTTATTTATTTGCCTTTTTTTCCCTCCACTGAATAAATTTTATACCTCCACAAATCTTCTAAGATGAGGACGCTACATATTCTCTTATGGCCTAATAATCCCCCCCATGAATCTGAATAACATAAATTAACAAAAGCTGTAGTCTTTTATTTGTTTATGTTTAGGTCAGATTTTTTGGTCAGGATTTTTTGTTTTGTTTATTTATTTATTTTTTAGATTTTTGTCCAGTGTATCAACAAACAAAAACAGAGTTCTGTTCCTTTGCTCACTAAATAATACGAGTTAGAGCCTTAAAAACATGTTGTGACCATCAAACAGCGGCCTGCGGGCCATTTCCGTTTTGCTGA